ACTTAGTGTGGTGGCTACACAATCTGATACTCTGCCCGAATTTGGAAAGAAACTTTGAGAATCTATGAATTTAATGTTGATTTTCTTATGACATGCTCATGGATTATGTGCACTAATGAAGTATCACTTGCTTTCAGAATGATTCACTTGAGAAATTTGATACGGTTGAAAGAGAAATACAGGATTCTTTGAATGAAGTGGAGGTGATTAATCCTTTGTATCAAAGTCTAGTTGATAAGGAGAACTGACAACAAAAAGGTAGGGGCTTATACTATGCAGTACCGTGCGAAAATGATCAGGTTGTATGTTGAAAACAGGCGGAGGGAAGCAATAGTATTGATACCTTACAAAGATCAGATTGTAAAAAACTACTGTTTATGTTTTCTTCTCTTACAGAATCATGGAGTTGGAAAAGAAGTTTAGCATTCTTTATAAACAGAGCCTTCCAACTCAGTTCTCAAATAAGGCTGCTCGAGATATATGGCTCCGGAAGGTGATTGAAGATCTCAACCGTGTTCTAGATACAAATACGGTTCAAGTGAGTTTTAGTCTATCAAAATATGGAAGACAATGTTTTTAACGTTGGAAGAAATGAAGAATCGGCCAAAAAACCTTGTGTATTTCTCTATATAAGTTCATTGTTTGGCAGTGGAATATGTGAAAAATCAGGTGCATATTATTGGTGATAATATAACATGTTTCTTCTATTGTAGGTGCCAAAACTTCTTAATGAAATCCGTCGCCTCAAGAAGGATTTGACATGCACAGATCAAGAAGCATAACTGAATTTGGTGATCTGAAATTTCACATTTCCAAGTCCGTATTAAAATGAGGGAGAGAGATGAAGAACAGAGAAAAAGGAAGTAAGATAGTATTGTTTCTGAGTGGTTTTGATTTTGTGATGCCTTTTTCTTGTTTAATATGTCAAATTTTCCAGAGTAGTTTATGCAATAAGTAACTTGGTTCGCCATTTTTTGTGAACCATTCATTGTATTGTCTCAGGATACAAGACTGACAAATTTCCAAAGAGTATAGGATAAATGGAGTTTATGGTCCACTCATTGAGTTGGTTGATTGCGAGGAAAAGTTGTTCATGGAAACAAGTTACACGGACAAATTAGCTCTATGTTACTATTGCAACCAAGATACCGATGTATTCACTAAAAGGTGAGCTTCATACCTCAAAATCTGAGATAAAGCGGTCCTTCATTTCCTTTGGTGGAAATGCTATTTTTTAAAAACTTTCTCTGTTAATATTCGCTTTAGGTTATTGGTAGAACTATAGTATGTCGTTATTTGGCATTGGAAATTGAATTTTTTTGGTTTTAATTAAACGATTAGTTTTTGAGAATGCTAAATATTGAGCGATACACTATCGGTTTTTGATAACTTAAACTGATGTTCTTTTTGCCTATAAAAACCCATCCCAAGCTGTAAAAGCCCAGCCCAAACAGATTAGTATTCTATAAATACTCATCTAGGGTTAATTTTCGTTGGTGCTTTAGGCGAGCTGCTGTGTGGCTGTTCTCTATGGCGAGTTCTAGCGAGAAATCAGCAAACGGTCTTGAAGAACTGTCGGAGAAGAAGGTAACCTAAGATGGTCGGAATCCTCTTGTTCTTTGATAGCAATTTTAAGCATCTTTTCTTATTTATCTCCAAAATGGAAATGGGTACTATGTAACAGGAGATAGTGGAAGGATTTCATCAAATGGCCATTGAGGTATTTGTTCTGTTCTTATTATCATCAAGATATGAAGAAGCAAGCACTTGGCATCTATATCTTATTCTGGGGATAATCTCTTTTTGTATTTAATCAATTTTAAATACACTTTGTTCTAGGACACAACTAAAGGATTCTCCATCTAAGTAGAGATGAAGTCTGATAGAAGAAGGTTTAAGGATATAACTTAATATTTACATATTTCAACAAATGATGAGCGGATTATACTAAAGCCTTGTTTTGTTTGAATTTTTTTGAGGTACCACCCGTTGCCAAGAGGAGGCTTTAGAAGCCCAGCAAGGTTTGTTGTGTTGTCTCTTTATACACATTCTGCCTTTAGCTTTGGACAATATAGCTTGTTCTGATATTATTTTGGTTAAGGCAATTTGTAGAGGCTTTGTGAAACTATGTTTTCTTACCTCAGAGAGAGAAGCAACAACCCGGACCCTTTGAGGCCTCATTTGAACTAAATTCAAATAATTTGTGGAAATAACCACATTGATGACCATACCAAATTACAAAAGATATATATTATAATCTTTCATAGAAAAATAGTTAATTTACCCATTACCAAAAACACTTACGGTATCAGCAACAGCTTGCAAAGAGAAGTGGTCTCCCCAGTATCTATGTTTTGCCATCCCATGACAATATTCTATGTAATCCATTTTAACAGATTCTTCATAATATTGCTAACTTTCATACAAAGTTCGTTTTTCTCTAAAGCTCAAATAACAAAAAATGTGTTAAACACATAATTATAACCAAAAAAAAATTGAACCAAAAATCAAATTTATAACACAGTCACCTGTGTAACAACGATTTGCTTAACCTCCGAGTGGAGATCCGAAGATCCAAAGAACTGGTGTGCAATTGCTCGAAATTGGCAATTGCCATCACCTAGAATCTCGACCTCATGCCTCTGATACTCACTAAGCTTCTGAATAAAGAGTTTTCAACTTATCAAAGGTTGCTTGACACATTTCTTCATAAATCTTTTGAAACTCATCATAAATCTTACCGCAGAGAGAGAAGAAATATGTCATGGTGATAAGTTGAAAGCAACCTTTGAAATCTGGGGATGAGAGGGATGAGATAGAGAATGATGATGTCCGGCAAATGTTGTTTCTTCAGAGGCCTACTTACTATGACACACATGAGGTTGACATTCGAAAAATCTTTATTCAGAAGCTTAGTGAGTATTAGAGGCATGAGGTCGAGATTCTAGGTGATGGCAATTGCCAATTTTGGGCAATTGCACACCAGCTCTTTGGATCTTCGGATCTCCACTCGGAGGTTAGGCAAAACGTTAGTTACACAGGTGATTATGTTATAAATTTGATTTTTGGTTCAAATTTTTTTTTTTGGTTATAATTATGTGTTTTAACACATTTTTTGTTATTTCAGTTTAGAGAAAACCGAACTTTGTATAAAAGTTGGCAATATTATGAGGAATCTATTAAAATGGATTACATGGGATGGCAAAAGATAGATACTGGGGAGACCACTTATCTTTGCAAGCTGCTGATACCGTAAGTGTTTTTGGTAATGGGTAAATTAACTATTTTCTATGAAAGATTATAATATATATCTTTTGTAGTTTGGTGTGGTCATCAATGTGGTTACTTCCACAAATTATTTGAATTTAGTTCAAATGAGGCCTCAAAGGGAACAAGGAGGAGAAGATTGGCTAGAATTGTGGATAAGTCATTGGGACAACTCTCATTTCAATTCATTAGTGAAGAATTAGTGTGTTAAATACGTTGGTGGTTCAAATGTTTGCAAACTCTTCCATATCGATGTTTTAATGGAGTTTTGAATTGAGCATTGTTAGTTGAAACAATGAGTTAAATTTGAAAGAGGATTGTTAGTTTCGGTGTTTTTTGGTTTCCTAGTCTTTGATAGTTGCTACGGAGCCATCTAGAAACCCGTGAATCATATAGCATGGACCAAATGGTGAGATGGATGATTCTGTATATACAAATCTGCATCTAAACATGAATGTGCATCTCAAGGACTGCCTTTTAGATAAAGGAGATTGTGGAAAAGTTCAAAGGTATACAGTTCAATGTCGAGGAATTGATAAGAAAGCAGGGGTAATAGCAAAGAGGTTCTGATGTATGTGGAGTTAATGGTGAGGTTGGATGGTTAGGAGCAAAAGCTATGACACGGGTGGAAACCAAAAAAACTGCAAATCGTGTTTCACCAAAGTTAAATTAACATTTTGGATCACGAAACTGGCTTCATCAAAATCATGTTTGAGTCCGAACTTGGACATTCTGAACTTTGGACATTTTGAACTTGGAAGAAGAATGGCCCTTATTATCACATGGAAACACGACATTAACTTTGTATTAAGGTTGATCGAGTTTGAGTTTGTGTTAACTCGTGGAGGGTGATAAATTAGTTAGAATGGTTAGAGAGTTAAGTTTCCTTTAGCTTAATTCTTCATGTGTATATATATCTTATGTGTACATTCATTTTCGGGTTAATGAGAAATTAACTCTTAACATCATAAGAGTTGTTACTACTCTTCTTCTGATTTTCCTTTTCCTCTTTGCAATTTATGCTCTTTTTCAAGGTAAAGTTAACTAATTTCTCAAATTTTTGTTGATTTTTCTATGTTTCTTTGTGTGTTCTTGCAATTGAGAGATCTCTTTGTTATACAATGTCTCTTTATGCTTAATAATTAGAAAATGTGATGTTTTGTAAATCTTAGTTATCTCCAAAGCCATAGATGCAGAAGAAAATTTATAATATTGTTCTTCATTTCATTAATAAGGGTTTACTTTTCCCCACTAAAGATTTTAAAAAAATCAGTGTTTTTTTCCAAGGGCATTTCCGACTTTTACTCACCAGCCAATGCCTTCTCTTTAGAAACTTTATTGACTCTTTGCATTAACATTTTGATATTAAAAGTTTAACTTATAATTGGACCGACCAATTTACTGATTTTCATGCGAATTGTACTAAACCATGGTTTTGTTAATATTTATGTTTCATTGTTTATATGTTTCAGATTTCATTAGAGGAGGGTAGGTTTCGGCTTCAGGATCATCGATGATCGTAACTAATTCATGTGTTGAAAG